GCATTATGCAGCAAGAGTCCGGAAAGTAGCAGAAGCACGAGCGACGACGGTACGAGCGACGGTAACGCCTGACAAGCGGGAGAAGGATTGATGGTATAGCACAATCCTAGCTGTTTCGTTAGCCAAAATAAAAAGCGCTGAAACTAGAGTGGTCTTTCACTCCCTTTCGCGCTCTTGAGAACGATCATGAAAAGATACCACGCAGTAAAGCCCGCTTCGCCTAGTGCGCACTGTGTTGCGCTGTGTCGCAGGTCATTTATTCTTCTGCTTCGTGTAACGATGGAAATGTATCGTAGAGATCGACCGTGAAAAATTTAGGATCAAAAGCGAAATCGAGCATCAATTTAGTTTTAGAATTTAGAGACCTTCAAATACAAAAGTTGGTATAATGTATGGGGTGAAGGCTTATTTTCGAAAGCTAAAGGCTCTTTAGCGGTTCCATTTCAAAAGGCGTAAACTTTTAATTTTCTGGGCGTACATTGAACAACAATCATTTATGGATAAATAACATTAAATCTCCGACCGCACTTGAAGAACATATTGAATGTATTGACCAATAGTGTGAGCCTAGTGATATAAAACTCTTTTTTAAGGAGTCAACTTGCACAAAGGCAAAATTATATCCAATCAGAGAGCAGATGGACAATTACAGCTCTCTCAGCTATCTCTCCGACGTATCAGGTCGGAGAGAACAGTGCTGTTATGATTATCACTATACAAACACCAAGTTATTCGCATATTTTCAAAATAACACTTAAGCTCCGACATCTCCGACAAAAGGTAACTCAATCGCATATTTTACAAACAACATCCAAGCTTTAACATCTCCACCGAGGATGAGTCTGACCGACCTAGCACCTACCAACACAAAGCGTGCCCGTGAGAACGCAGCGCGCTCATTTTTAAAGTTCCTCGAGCAGGAGTAGGTTACTTGGGAGTACCTGCAACAGTGCATGCAGCGCGAGAGGGCACCTCTCGCACTAGAAGCTGTGATGGACAAGTTTGGAATGTATCTCGCGTTCAAGGAAAGCCGAAAGGGACAGCTCTTAGCTCGACACTCGGTCATGCAGTACTTGTGACAATCCAAGAATTGGCTGCTGGAGCAGTTCCCACAGCATCGAGCAGTGGTTGAAAAGAATTTGCTCAAGAAAGGACAGACACTAGAACGCCATTGCATGAAGCGTGAGTCAGGGTCGTTTGTAAACAAGGCCCCAGCATGCACAAAGTCTGCTCTAAAGAAAATGATGGAATACTTGTATTCAACTGCGGTTACTAGTGCTGACTACCAAGATGCGGCGCTGTTGTGTTTGCTTTGGTACCTCTTTGGGCGTGCATCGGACCTTACAATGCAGCGGAAGGCAAACCTGTCTCTCGGCTTGGGCGACATATTCTTCGTCTGATTTATACGAACTAAAACCTATGAAGAGCAAGGTCTTTCACTTTTTCCTGACGAAGACTTCACCTCATGTCCTCTGCTTGCCACAGCTCTCGCCCTCGTGACCCACTCAACGCCAACTATATCCGTGCTGATTCAACTTCCTGAGTAGATGGCTATCTCACAGTCCATATTAGCTCCAGCAACTCCGCTCATCGATTTGCTCGATCATCCAGAGGCTGAGGTGTCTTCACATAAAAAATATTATCCACCGCTGTTAAGAAGGAGAACATCACAGATAATGCTCCTGGTGTACACAGCTACGTCCACCGTGTTCTTGATCGGGTCGCTGTAAAAGCTGAAGTATTCGAGCGCTTGACATCTCACGCTTTTCGGCGCGGAGGGGCGCAGCATGCAAATGGGGCTGGATTGTGTGTACAGTGGATCTTCGACCGAGGCGCCTGGAATATGACAGCGGCAAACAAAGCCTACGCGTACGTTTTTAATACGGCTTCCGAATACCATAAGGTTGCCCGGGTCTTGAGTGGGCGACACCTCGATACCGACGTATCTATTCTATCACTTGATATCTTCGACTCCGGTACGCAGACAAAAATACACACTGTTGCGACAGCGCTCTTCAATGCATCTCAAGGGCTCAAGACTACAAAATACAACGTGAGCGAAAGAGTGATTGAAACGCTTATCACCTACGTGCTGATTCATTATCCATCGTTGAAGCAGCTAAAGAGAGACGGACTTGTAGTCACACGTTCGGAAGCATGTGTAATCCAGCAAGGTTACTCCGTCAGCAAACTTCTAGCTTGGTATTCACATCAAACCTGCTACACGAAGACAAATGTGCCACCGAATCCCATCAAGGCTTCAGACAGCACGATTGACATCACAAAGCATCCAATATATCTTCGTCAAGCTTCATTGATTGAACAGTTAATCAAGGTCAACCAAAAGCTCGAATCTCGCGTCTCGATGATTGAAGCTGATGTCTATAACAAAACACAACCAAAATCTTCACATGAAAGAAGTGAGGGTAAAGACAAAGAACCACCAGCCAAACGTCGCCGAACGAGCTCGTCAAAAAACCTGAAGGACGTCTGGTTTTGTTGTTATACCCAGGAAACCCGCCTCTGGGATCGTTTGATAGCTCGAGCAAGCACACGAAATCCACCGCCAAACTTGTTGTTGCATTCATGAAACTGTTTCTTGCTGATGGCTTCATGCTTGATGAGAAGTCTCCGCAGTATCGAGACAATGTGTTGGAATTAGGCGATGTCGCTGAAATGCAGTTTCCTTCGTTTCTTGGCGAGCACAACATCAAGGCCCGCGGAGCATAAAACGTCCTTAAGTCCATGCGCAAGCTACACAGAGCTGGTCATCTAAGCAAACACATTCAACGATACAGACAACTGCAAGCCGCCGGGCGAATTGTAGATCTAGCACCTGCGCATACTACAAACATCATCGGATAGATAGTCAACCCGCAGTACCCATAGAGGATGGTCTTCACGCCATTGTATCTATGCTGAGTGATTTCGCAATAAAGAAGGAGAAATACAACAAGTACATATTAACAAGATCGGCGAGACACTTTAGCTCGTCCTTACTCTCATGATACAGCATATATACATCATAGTACAACAATCCATTTTACCCTTTATCGTCGAGGTCAGATCGCTCAAAATGTTCTTGGACGTGACAATATCGTATCACGATGTACACCTTAACGCACGGGGAACATGTCATCTGGGTAGCACACGGGCGGCATGTAGTCCACCATGTAGCTGCTTACCTGTCATTGAATACAACATAACGATCAATGCGCAGTCAATAACGCGCGTATAAATACACATGGACACGGGTGCACGAGCGCGGCAAACGCGTTGTGCACCATTTACGCACGGGGAACATGTCATCCGGGTAGCACACGGGTGGCATGTAGTCCACCATGTAGCTGCTTACCTGTCATTGAATTCAACATAACGATCAAAGCGCAGTTAATAACGCGCTTATCAGTACAATGGACACGGGTGCACGTGCATATACATTGAAGCCATATCATTTACAACTCGTTCACAGTCCACGTGTCGTGGTAAATTGACACGTTGGCACGATTTACGATGTAGTGAAGCAGATCAGCACGTAATATTTAACTTTCGAACACGCACACAAGGAAAATCAATTTGCCTCATTCAATCATATTTTAAGCCCCCTGTCCACTTATCATTGCTAGCACAAAAGTGCACACAAAATTGCACACTATTACATAAATTTCGTACTGGCTTTGTCCCGGTCGGAGCGTGTCGGAGGTCGGAGATTTCATGGTATGGTGTTTTTAAATAGGCGTACATTGAGTTTTTTCGTGGGCGTGCATATAATCTTTCCCTTTTTATTTGCTCACATTTGTTTTTGTGTCCCGTAGTACTGTTTTACACTTTTTTAAATTAAACAGATATTTAGATCATACTTTTTGTTAGACCGTACCAGACGAGAATCAATTACTAGATATATCATGCACTATAAGAAGAACAATAGTATGTAGTGCACTTACTTTTTTAAAAGGGCAAATTTAAGGATTTTTCGGAACTAGTTATTCATATCTGAGATTATGACTATTTTACTTCAAAATGTTGATTTCTTCTCAACTCGTGTAATAATCGGGCACATTTATATATATGGTACATCCAAATATAGATCCATATTGGGCCTATTATCTTGCGCTTAAGAGATATAAATTTGTGCGCGAAGGGTTGGAGTAAACTTGGACTTCTTCATTCCAGACCAAAGCAACAATTCACCCAGATTAAGCCCACGACCACAACAAATGTTCTTCCTGAAGCAGCTCTCGCGCGACCTGCTGCTTCATCCGATGCACTTTGGGCCGAAACTGCACGACATCATCCGTCTGCGCCTCATCGAAGAGGTCGAAGGGACTTCAATGGGGAAGTACGGCTACGTCATAACAGTCACGGAAGTGCGCGACGAAGACATTGGCAAAGGCGTGATCCAGGACAACTCGGGCTTTGTGTGCTTCAATATCCGCTACCGGGCTATTCTCTTCCGCCCGTTCAAGAACCAAGTACTGGACGCTGTGGTGACAGTCGTGAACCAACTGGGTTTCTTTGCGGACGTGGGTCCGTTGCAAGTTTTTGTGTCGAGACACGCGATGCCCACGGACTTGAACAATGGCTACGACCACGAGAGCAACGCGTGGATCTCGGATGATCGGGAGGTGGAAATCCGAAAAGGCTGTGGCGTGCGGCTCAAGATCATGGGCGTGAGCGTCGACGTGACAGAGATTGTAAGTGCAATGCAAACGACGAGATGAGTGGCTGGCTGCTGACGGTGGTTGTGCTCCTGTTTTTGTGCGTGTCGCATAGAACGCCATTGGCACGATTAAAGACGACTATCTAGGTCTCATCTCGTCCGACAATTAAGACGCTAGCCCAGGGATGTTGTAGCGGCCCAAAGTAGAGCCACGTGCTTTTACCACGTGCAGGTTCATGTGACATCATCGTTTTATGACGATACGGCCACTATGTGCTTTCCCAAACATGGACGGCCCAGCGCACTAGTGTCCACCAGTCCACCGTACACAGTTTACAGTCTAGGGATGTACAAAGTGAGTAGACTTGCGATGCTCTTTCTCCAGGATGGGTGCAATATCCGCCAGCGCCACATCTTCAATCTCAAAGTTGCGTGCAAGCTCCGCGCGAAGCTCGTTTCGGAACTTCTCGCGATTCGCGCATTCCGTTTTCAGCATATCTTTTAGCGGGCACAGGAACTCGAGGTGGCTGCGCTGCTGACGGTACTTTGGCTGTCGAGCTGGATGAGTTAGATACTCCATGTTCTTTGGATCAAAGTCCCACAAGAACGAAGTGTGGTGCAGCCAGCGGCCCCTTGATAGGCTCTGGGCATTGCCACCAAACTTGCGATCGTTGAACACATAGTCGTCTTCTCGCAGCGAGAACTTCTGCACAGCGACACAAAGAGTCGATGAGTCACACGAATGATCAGCACCAGCCGCTATGTAAAAGCTCGTTGTAAATATGGCACGGAAATCTCACCAGGTCATCGCGACACACTCGCGAGAAAAAGGGCAAGAAAAAGTCGTGTGACCACGCCATGATCTCTCGCGGAAAAGGCTTGACCCGTGGAAAGTCTTCCTGTCGACAGATGAACGTCGTAAAGACTGTATTGTGGTCGACAATTACAGTGCCACCGCCACTGAAGCGCTTGAGCACCGGGATGCCGTCGCTAGATAACACAGCAGCCGTAGCAACAACAATAGCAACAGCAGCCTCCCGTCAGTCTTCACGTCGCTCGAGCAGTGGCTAGCAATGCAGCACGAGGACCGGCTCAACGCACCGTCTGACAGCCTCCTGATGCAGTAGCTGCTCGGGTTTGCCCGAGATGCCCATGACGATCGTGGCTGGTTCGTGCTTGTCGTTGTAGATGAACCAATTGCGCTGCGACTCGGCACGGAAGAGCGCTTCCTCGATACGCAGCTGCTCCTGGATGGGCGCCTGCAGTCGCAAGAAGCTCATGCGTGGCGTGCGTAGCACTGTGGTCGCCATTGCGTTGTGGCACACGTCGCAGGATCGGGTCGACTCAGATCTGAGACGAGCTACGTCTCAGATGATCCTCAGTTTTTCTTTGGACACGTTGACAGCACATGGCGACTGCACCGCCACTTTTGCTCGCAGCGCGCGAGCTCGTGCGTGGCGCAGAGACGTCGCTCCCGCTCAATGTCACAGTTGTGGCTTTTGCAGTGTCCCCTGCACACGTGGCGGTGGTCTTCTGCTCGCACACAGAGCGACGCTGCGCTCGTTTGGGCGTGTTTAAGACGGCGGAAAGTATCGACGAGGAGAAAGTCGAACTATTTTTCGATTTGGTGGTGGACTTGGACGAGGAAAGAGCTTCGGAGGGTGGCGAAAGTCATCACTGGAGCATCGTTTGGAGTCCAGACCTCAAGTTTCTTGTCGTTAGCGGTGGTAGTGGCGGCATCATGTGGGTCTTTACATGTCCACAGTGGCTGGACTGTACAGCGTCTCCTAAGGCCCCTGCCGACTCTTCGCAGCTTCTTCGTGTCGATCCATCAAACTACTTGACTCGGAAGCATTGGAATCCTGCAACGAACATCGTCAGTGTTTTTTTTCCGACGCAGAGTGGGAAGACACTATTCGTACTGTCCGAAGACGGAGTTTGGCTCAGATTGAATGTGCGATTGGCCAAGTTGGCACTACACGCAATGGAACAGTCAGCGTCACAAGACACAATTGGAATGTTTTCGATGAAAACGGTCAAGACTCTTACGCAGTGGCATGCAGGTATCACTGCTGCGTGTTACGACCTCGCGAGTTGTTTACTTGTTGTGAGCGGAGGAGTTAGTGACCCGAGCTTGGATTTAGTAAGAAAGCAGGCGTCATCGTTGAGTGTATGGAAAGTGGGGAGTGACACCGATAGTAACGAACCTGGCGAGCTGCTGGATTTTACGCTGCTTGTAAAAGGCAGGAACCAGCAGTTTGATGACGATGCGAGTCACAACGAGACAGAAGAGCTGAGGGTTCATTCTGCGGTGACAGTAGAGCGCAGTGGACTACTAGCGCGTGTCAAAGGTGTGCTTTTCGGTCTGGTAGGGATGCATGTAGACAGCAACTTGTCGGAAACCCGTTCGTTGCAAGGTTTTGTTCGCCACTTGGCGTTGGCACCCAACGGAACCTTTGTGAGCATGGTGGACGACCTCGGCAGGATCGCTATTCGCAAAGTTGACGCTTGCGCGGATGTGCTGAAGTGGCAAGAAGTACAGGGTTGTTCGATCGCCGGCACGGAAGGAATCGCAGTGGCGACGGTTGTGTGGTTGACGTCAGATTTGGTGGGCTTGATGCTTTCCAACAATAGCGTCATCTTCGCAAGATTTGAAACCCACTGCGAAGAAAAGACTATAGCCAATGGTGATGAAGAAAAGGATAAGAGTTTGGGGCTGTCCGCCAGCCTCGAGTTTATTCCTGTACGATTCCATCGACATGCAATGAGCGTTTTGGCTTGTGCTGAACACACGCTCGCCTTTGACGTCATTAAATCTACGTCCAGCGCCGAGAACAATAGTGCGTTCACTGCAGTCGAATTTGTCCTTACCGGCAATGTGTGGACTATAAACGAGATTCAGTCCTTGAATATGAAGCCATTTATTGAATTGTTGATGAATGAAGAAAGACTTGAAGACGCTTTGGAAATGGTGGCATTTCAGAAAGCGAATGTAAATGGCGTCAGTGCAGATGAAATTCACCGCCGCATGTGGAAGCGGTATCGAAAGACGGCAGCTCGACTGGAAGAGACTGCGACCAATAGCAAAGCCTGTATCGATCCAAACCTTCAGGATCTTGTGCTTATATCCACGCAACCACAGGGACGTTTTCCGCGCGAAGACCGCGGTGAGTTTCGGGCTGCATTGGATCATTTACGAGCAATGTCGGACAAAGACTGGGTACTTGATGAGTGCCTGCATCTTATTGCCGACGACTCATTCACGAACATGAAACACATCCTTGATCTTGCGTGGGATGCTTTGGTCTGCTTGAACAATGGCGATGAGGTTGCTGATGAACTCTTGCACAAAAAAGTAGATCTCCAGCGATTTATTTATCGTCTTGAAACCCTGCGTTTGATAATGTGCGAAGAAAATGGCCTGTCTACGATGCCGGAAGCAGCTGACGGCCTCGTTGATGGAGCTACTTATGCTCTGTTCCGATCGTCATCTGTGTCTAAGACAGCAAAGCAGTTTGCACGAGAAGGCCGTGTTGATGCGCTTAAGATTCTTCTTCACCGACACAGCTGGAATCTGGTTCCTTGCTGGATGGACATTCTTGAACAGATTTCGTCCTCAGTGTCACCATATTTGTACGCAGAACTGCTCCTGACCAATTCCGCTCAGAACGAAAGCAACGATCACATTTGGACTTTGAGACGGTCGATTGATGGCTTGTTCCAATCTGACGACGGCAATGATTTAGTGACTTCCGTCGCGCTTTCGGAACAAAACTATCATTATGACCTCACTGACGAAGAGCAGATAAGGTTCAATGAATACACGAGCATTGATTGCGACGAGCGCAATATGGCGTATTATGAATGGCTACGTAGAAGAGTCCTGGAGCTGGACAGCCGTTATGGCCAGCTTGCTTTCTCATACCAGTTAAGTAGACTTGCTTCCACATGCCTGTCAGAGTGGGCACCTTCGGGTACCAAGAAACCACTGGAAGAGCTTTTTCTGCAGACTGAACGTTTGTACAATTGCGTGCATACGTTTAATTTATCAGCCTGCTGTTTGCTTCCGCTAGACGAGTGGTCTACACTTTCGATGCACGATCAAGCCATGATTGTGGTAGGCGCTAGTGACAAGGAGCTTGCAGACGATATTACTTTGGCGATCGAGCGCTTGGAGAAGGTGTTCGTAACACAGCGTCAAGATTGCAGGTATGCGCTGGATGACCTGATGTCAAGGTTGGCACATACAGTGTCATCTAAATATTCGTTGCCTGGTCTGACGCTTGCAGCAGAAATAATCAAGCGAAGCTCCCCATCAATTGAGCCTACGAAGCGGTGGATTCAAAGCGACACGCAACTTATTGAAACAGCACTCAACGTCGTCTACTCGGTCCATCTTTGTAAAGACTTTGGGGGCAGAGCACCAATCGTGGGTGCGAAGGCGTACATGCAGCGCCATTCTGTCGTGGTGGAGCAATGCTGGACGATATTTCAGTCACTACCTATCCGAAAGGAGAACGATTTACCAGAGATCGCTCAGTTGCAAGTGGCAGTGGATGAAATGGAAGGTCTATTAATTGCTGTAGACGTACTAAGCAAGTATGGCGTAGCTACTTTGCCAGGCCAACTAAAGAGTCAGATATTGGCGAATAGTGACGGTGCAACAGGTGAATGCGCGAATGTAGGTCTGCATGATCTGATTGAAGAAATGTCCTCGTTCGCTTTTTCTGGCAAAGTTGCTAACGACAAAGAAAACGGTTATGGAAGTCAATGGGTTGAAGTACTTCAAGATGCAGCGAAGCTGAAGGAGCATGCATTTGGTGAGCGATTGAGTCAAGAAATGGTATTGGACATTATTTTAAAGCAATTGCTTGCATCTGAACGTGTTGATGTCAACTCCGCTCAAGCTGTGGTGAAGCATTGGATAGCCTCTGACGTAGAAGCTATCGAACGTGTCCTGGACAATTTGTTTGCGGCAACTCGAGCAAAGCTTGACTGTATCTCCGGATATTCTGAGGGTAGAAGTGCGATCCACACAGCTGCGTCGAGCTGCGTCAGTATCGCAAGGCAGCTGCTTTCTCTACCAGTATGGGATGGAAGCGATCGCGCCGTGCGTAGGACCAAAGAATACTATACGGAAGCTTTATCGCATGAGCAGGATGTAGCTGACGCTTGCGAGCTGCTTGATCTACTGACGCATGGCACTATGAAAATGTCGCCACCACAGCTAAGGACCAGCCAGCCAGAGGAAGATGTTCTTAACATTCGACTAAATACTGTTTATCAAGTATTCGCAAGCAATCCAAGTAATTACAAACCGTCCGTGCGAGTGAAAGAATGGCTCGGGCAACGCCGTGTTGGAGAATTGAACGATGGAACAAGAACAGATTCATGCACCGGACCTTTGTTTGCCATTATGCATTTGGCAAAACTGTTGCATGTTGAGACTCAGAAGCTAAACATATGGATGAAAGGCGCGTATGCGGCCCTGTATTGCATCGATTACGAAGTTGCGTACGATCTGACAATGAAAGTGATTGCCAACATTTCTGCTGAGGCCGACCGTATTGCAGATTGCAGCGGTGGAGGCGACCAGGTGACACTATTGCACTTAGTTTCGTTAGTGCTCGATCTTGTGTCTGCTTCGTCATTCTATTCATGGACGAAAAAGCGCAATCTATGCTGTGCGCTGTTCAGTGTATCCGATATGTCTTCGACAGGCCTTTTTGCACACCAAGCGACAGACTTAGTGCTGTCGTGGTTTGAAAAGGTTGATGCTGTTTGCGCCATATTAATTGATCTAGGCTTGTCGGACGCCGATCTAGAGCAACGGCGACTAATCGACGGGAAAAACCCACGCAGTGCTGAATCTGCACTACTACGCGAGCTAAAAATAGTGGTGGCGCTGCTGGTTGGCGAAAAAGACGACCGCCGATTGATTCTGCGGTTGCTGCAGCGTGGGGTCCGGCTTGCTTTTGTGCTGTCCGAAAGCGTGGGTAGCATTACGAACTACGATATCAGGGAGTCTGTATTGACATTTCTCCAGCAAATGGTACAAATTTGCGTACAAGGTGCGGGCGAGCTCGCACCGACTTCTAATGGCACCGAGTCAGGCGATTGGCGACAGTACATGGAGCTTGCCTTTGGCTATTTATATCTGCTAGGCGAATACAGCGGCGATTATGGTAGCTTTGAAGCATTCTGCGTCAAAGAAGTTCTCTCGCCATTGTTCGTCGATCCAGCTGGACCGAAGTCGTCAACCACATCATCCAGTGATACACTGCAGAAGCACGAAATCGTAGTTCGCGGACTCCACGATTTCTACTTGCTCCAAGCGGCACAAGCAAATGAGGTCACTATAACGAGTGATCTAGGGGCTTTGTCGAGTCGTAGCGAGTGTCTCACGACGTTACCTTTTTCCTACGAGACTACACAAATGGCGGCAAGCTTTGTTGAATTCTCGGGGGATCGCACTTTAGACAACTCAACTGACTCAGCCGCAATGCGGTCTAAGCCGCGGCTTCTATCACCGGAGCACCGGAACGTCACTTATCTGAGCCTCGCTCAGCGATGCCAAGAATGGTTGGTCTCGCAAAAGAAGTCCCAAGAGTTCGAACAAATGACCCTATTGCTTGGCACCAAGTTCGATACTGAGTGTTTTCTGCAAGATGAAAGCTACCGCAAAAAACAGATTATGTCACTGGCCACGAAGAAAGAACACTTCCACCTTTCAAAACAGCTTGCCACCAAGTATGGCATTGATGAGTATGAATGCTTGTTGGCTTATATCAAGTGCGCGTGTCTGTTTCCATCGCATAGCTGTCAAGCTGGCCGTCGTGAGCAGTTGGACGAGACCTTTTCGATCGATCGAATCGATATCCTAGGAGAAGCTTTGCAACGACCGATTGATTTCGGGGACTTCTTACTACAAAGCGACACAGGAGGCGACCCAGGTTTGTACGACATGATTGACGGAACCGACCATGTTGGCGTTTTGTTCGTACTGCGGATGATCTTGGAATGCTCAAAGCGTAGTTGCGGAGAGTCAGTGGAACGAATGTCGCCCCACGAGTATTCTCTCTTTCCTCTGCCCAAAGGCTCGATTGACAAAATCAGTCTGTTGTTCATGTGCTTCAAGAAGCTGAAAAGTATCAGGGACTCACTTGACGTGCTGGATGTCAATCTGAAGCTCATAGGAACAGCTTCCACGACTAAGGAATTACTGACTCCCGTGACAGATCCTGAAGCGATGACAACGAGTCGGAAGGTGGCCGTTGAAGCAGTGCGGCCTCTATTGACTGGCAAGACCGTCAAGGTTGCTACCAAGATATTGCGCAGGCTTTATAATGTGACACCAAGTGCCATGGTCATGATTTACATTAATGACTTACTGATGAGCAAATGGAAAGAAGATGGGACTGCTGCCACTAGTGATGCTCAACTATCGGACGTGGCATTTCGGGCGTACGAAGCATGTGTGCCGTGTCTTTCAGTGCTTTCGAATGAACACTTGATGGTATTCCATCATATGTTCCTGAATGGATCAAAAGGCAAACACCCACTCGATTTAGTAACGCACCTTGATCTCACGAAGGAGTTCTACGGACAACGGCTAATTGGTCTACAGCACTTTGGTGGGCTACTGACGCCCGAGAAGCGTGTGGATTTCGTGACAGACACATTGTCAGTATTCCAGTCGAAGTACAACTCCTGGCAATTGTTTGGACCACGCTCAAGCGTTTCGTCATCTTCATCCACCGCTTCTTCTTCGTCCGCTTCATGGGACCCGACACAATACAAGCGAAAAGAGCAAGAACTTAGCTATCTGGAGCGTGAACTGGCAGAAAACATGTGCCACTTTTTGCTTGAAAAAATAGGAAAAAGTGGTTTGACGTTCGCCGCAAGCGAAAGCGCAATTGATATGTCGAAAATACTGGAGCCTGTTACGGCGGCCTTCAAGGCCTGGTTCGCGGTGGATCCTCTCCAGCAAGCAACAAATGAAGATTCATTTTGCAACACTACGTTGATGGAGCTTTGCCATCACGTGACATCAGTGGATCTTTCAAGTCTTATCATGGAACTAGCGTTGCGTGCTGGTGGAAGCACGATGAGTGAGGATACCGCGGCTACTGTGATTGCTGAAAGCTACAAAACGGCAGTTACCAATCTAGTCAATCGGCACGTGGATCCGACATGTGATGAACAAAAGCGCTGTGATCGTTGGGTTGAGCGTCTCGTTTGGACGTGGATCACTGGTGCATCTGTTCCTAGTAGCAGCGAGGAAGTTGAACTTCGGGACCACCTCCGCGCTACTTTGGCGATATCGCGCGACGAAAAGTCCAAGGCGCACGCGCTTTATATGCACGCTGTAATGTTGTTCTCACAGTCACCGTCTGCGCTACTGAAGGAAATCGGTTCGGCCCGGCAAAGCGAGATGTACAGCCCTTCTGATGGGAATGAAGGTTCAAGTAAAAGCCTGGTTGCCGTGGTGCGTCAAACGGTTTTATCCCAGTGGGAACAGCTGATACGGCAAAAGGAAGATCAACGAAAGTGGAGCGAAGCTGCGATTCTCAGTCACGTGCTACAATCTTGCGAATTTGCCAGGATCAATAGTGCAAAGTTGGCCACATGTCATCTAGGGCTACAAGTCAAAGCTGTATGGTCTGCGTTGCTCATGGAGCACGAGATGGATAGATTTGAGCCGCAGCGCGTTTTCAGTATCCCCAGTCATGACATGCCAACCCATTTTGCTGCAGTATTTGAGGAGCTGCTATCATTTGTTGAGGCACACTCTGGTGATGGCAACGCCGAGGCTATGCATTTTGCGGAGCAGGCAACAGTGGCACTAAGCAACTTGCTCGTCCGCCGTAGCAACGTACAAGGGGATTCCGCACAATGTAGTGATTCGGCATGGCGGAATGAACAAAGGGTTGCGATGCAAGCGCGTACCCGAGCTCAGTTTCAGGTGGGTGCTGCAGTCGAGAGACCAACTACGTCCCAAAAGGACGTGGCTCTCTGCTGGTCAGCCCTCTTTGCACGGGGCATCTGGGGCACCCACCTTTTGGATTGGTACACTGCGCATGCGTATGCTGAACTAAGTAGTGAAGCAGAAGGAACGGAAGCGGTGGTGTTAACTCACTGGGAAGCAAGCAAGACTGACGTAGCAGTTCAGCTGCTTCTGATGTGCCCATTTGACGAGCTCAGAAGCAAGCATGTCGACCGACTGTTGCATTCTGTGCAACAACTTCCACGAGATTCTCCTAGCTGGTCTGCTGTCATGGAGCTTGCACTTTTGCGCTTCGATGTTGCAGAGCTCATTCAGCATGGCCTCTACTCGTCGGTGGTGGCTTTTCTGCTGCAAGATGTAAACAGAGAACCAGTTCGTTGGACGTCCAGCGGTGCCTATGTCGTGTGCGCCTTAGTGATGCAGGGTGAATATGCAGCGGCTGGTCGTCTGACCTGTGCGTTACGCCACGCCCACCCGCTGCTTTGGGACGTAGAAAATGCGCGCTTGTTGCTTTCCAGCTACCTCCGAACGCTTGCTTCACTACCGATGCGACACAGTGCCATCGACGACACCGACCAATCCCACGTGCAGCACGAAGTATACGTGAAGACGTCGAGACACTTAGCGAAAGCGCTCGACTAACGCACGCATCGATTGTTGCACAAAGATCAAATCATAGCTCGTATGATGCAAAGCTCCGTCGCTTCTTACCACGTCATCTGCCGCTATACGTTCAGCTTGAGCAAGTCGACAACGTGCGGGTTCCGCCAATCCTTACTGGGATCTTCCAGGTGCTCCTCAAAGTCCACCACATGCTCCTGTACATTCTGCTGCAGTCCCTGAGTCAGCACTTGTGCAGCCCCTTCTGCAACCTGCACACGGGTCTCGGCCCGACACCAGCCGCGCTTTGCGTCCTTTCGCAGCACCTGCAGCCCCGTTTTCGTCTCGTGGCCAAACTGCTGACGGTCCACCTACACGAAGAACAAACAAGACAAACACACGCACCAATGTACGCACGTGATTGATTGTTCAGTACCGACCGAATCAGCAGAAAAAGCTCGACAAAACCCGCGCAGCACACAATTGACCAAAAAAGTGTCCGAGACTCGACGTACCAATAGGACGCAAGCCTGCGCACACTGTTGCGCTACTTTGTCCGCCACTTTTTCGGCAAAATGGCTGAGTCCAGTACCAGAATCAGACGAAGAATGTCCATTTTCGGCATAATAAAAGCCCACAATGGCCAAGTTCGGATCCGTTTGGCAAAATGCCTCCACCATCGCGCACGCCACCTCCAGCAGCGGCGCGAGCGGAGCTTCGTGGTGAAACAGTGGCATGGCGTCCGATACAGTGAATCCGTGGCCCTGTTTCTGACCCAGCAGAAGGCCACACGCGGAGTTTGCCGGTCGCTTTGCGGCGTGCAGCATCAGCTTCACGTACGACTGCGTCTGCATCGGGTGCGCGCTGTCGTCCGTCATGATGCGTAATAGTGTCGAATGGACCAAAACGGAATCAAAATTTGGTGACTCAGTTACAAAAAAAACCCACGTCGACAAGACCGCTCTGTCAGTCGAGCGAGGGAGCACACTGCCCTCTCGCACCAGCGCTCTCGTTTCGGAAGCTCGGAAGCCAATGGGCCGCTCGAAAGCGTCTCGCCGCTCGCTGTCGCCCACGTCGTCCGCGACGTTGTCGTCGCCGTCATCGTCTCCTGCACACAGACGGAACGTCACTGCCTGTGGTTCGTTCAGTCGCCCGCGTTTCCCAGTCGTTGCACCGCCTGAGTACCCTCTGAAAGCCGCTCGGGTGATCCACAACGCGAAGAAAAAACATCGCTCAGGTGCGTGTGTTGCACGAAGACGTTGTACACGGACTCTATGCTTTTGTATATGTTGTGACCAGCCCCTGTCCTTGACAACTTCCACTCGTGTAGACATTGACCCCGACACGTGGACTCGCGAGGGCTTTGCTGGCTCGGACGTGTGCGACTTGCCGCTGGGCGAGTGCAACTTGATCAAGCGCGAGCACTGCAGCGAGCTGAGTGTCAAGCGCTTTATCAACGAGTACGAACGACCGTACGTTCCAGTGGTGATTGACGGGATCCCCGAGACTGAAGAGTGGAAGGCTCTGGAGCGTTGGACGCTGAAGCAATTGCGTCGAGATTACAAGCACGCCGAGCTCAAGTGCGGCGAAGACGACAATGGAAAGTCCATTCGGATGAAGTTCAGGTACTTTATGGCGTACGTGAAACGTCAGACAGATGACAGTCCGCTCTACATCTTTGACAGTACTTTTGAGGACCATGAAGACACCAAGCCACTGCTCGAGGATTATAAGGTGCCCAAGTACTTTCCAGAAGACTTGTTTTCGTTTGTTGGCGAGGACAGACGACCACCGTATCGATGGTTCCTGGTGGGCCCTAAACGCTCAGGTACTACATTGCATGTGGACCCGCTTGGCACGAGCGCGTGGAACACATTACTTGTGGGCCGCAAACGCTGGGTGCTGTTTCCACCGCACGTACCCAAGCGTCTCGTGAATGGTAAGAGTCACGTGCGTGGCGACGAAGACGACGAGGCTGTCAACTACTTCATGGATCTGTTGCCTCGTCTCAAGCGGGCAAGCTCGCCGGAGACACTGCAATGCATTGAATTTATGCAGTTTCCTGGTGAGACTGTGTTTATCCCCGGCGGATGGTGGCACGCCGTGCTGAATGTGGATGATACCGTGGCAGTCACGCAGAATTTCTGCAGCTCGCAGAACTTCCCTACTGTGTGGCGCAAAACGCGAAGTAGTCGTAAGCGCATGGCTGTCAAGTGGCTTCAAAAGCTGGAAACCCACAACCCAGAGCTAGCAGCAATGGCCATCAAGCTCAATCGAGACGATGCATTTGTCATGTACAGTAAGGACCGCCGAAGGTATAAAAGGCCGTCGTCGAGCTCACACAAGAGGAAGAAGAAACACAGCGGACGCGAATACGATCCAGAAGAGCGTCTGCACGACTCGCACTATCATGGCAAAAAGAAAAGGAGTGCTGCAGACGGCGAGTAAGTTGCTAGCAGAGTGAGGAATAACATCAACGCGTGAATAGACGTCACTAGATGACACAATTAGACGAACGCGAATGGGCGCGATGACGTAGAAGACGCATTTGGTCCATGCGGAAATCGACACGAACGGCTACATTCAAACGGGCACAACACGTATGCGAGCCTACGAGCAAGAAGTGGCCATGTCGAGCAATACCCGGACGTTCTTGTAGCTGAGCCCTATATTTGTGACGGCAGTGAGGTCAGGACGGGCCTTTGGTATCCAGAGGAAATCCGGATGGTCTGCCTTTGATTCACCCACCCACTCCCCGCCAAGGATGTTGTACGCCTCGTCCAGCTCAAGCAAATATTTGTACGTCTTGCCCTTCACGTAAGTCGTGGCGCGACCCGATGACACAAGCCCCCCATTTTCGAAAGTCTCCGCCATCCAGGATACTTTCGTTTCAACATACATCATGCGCTGGGCATCGCGGTTGAACGGGTACGTCGGTACGCCAAAGTATCGACTAGCAGCATCGCTGGGGGTCAATTCCATTTCAGTGAGCACTTCGTAGCCGTAAACGGGCTGATTCCAGACCTCAGGGCCAGCTGAGACGTCCAAGACCACGGAAGCATTGAAGCGGCCGAGGATGTTAGCCAGCGCGACGTGCATGAAGCCAGGACCCAGATCACGTCGTGAAGCATCCGTGAAGCGGCCATACGTGTCAAAGGTAGCCGCACTGGCAGGATTGAAGAACCTGGCACCTGTGAAGACCGTGGCAACTTTTGCTCCATCGTAGACTTCGGTTATCAGAGCTTTGATGTCCATCGGCTGGAACGTCACTCCATTGTATTCCACTGCACAATTCGGCTCGGGCTCGAGCAACGATGCCGGGGCCCAGGCATGGCAAATGCCGTACCATGTCGGAATGCACAAGCCCTGAGTTTCTCCACCAGGTCGAGCGCAGACACTGCCGTCCCCTCGTATACGACAGTCTTCATTCGTCAAGCACGATGCGTTCGACGACGTCTTTGATATCACACCCGTGGACTGCGATACCTTTGACACCATAGCACTGGGATCGACGCCAAAAGCAGTGGCGTATTTTTCCGTCGCACTAGGTCCATTGCTGGAGCTCCAGCGGTAGTTGATGCTGTCCAGATACATGGCCCAGTAGCTGCTGGGCCACGGCATGACGTGGTACGCTGCACGCGTAGCCAGGCTTTTGACGTTGAACTCCAAAGGCACCTGGAAGTGGTTTTCGAGTTTCTGAAGATCCGACGTGCTTGCTTCAAGTTTGCGATTGCGACCGTACACATTGACCGAAGCTGGTTCATTCTCGACGGTGAAGCTCTCGAAATTCGTTGACTGCATGGTCGATGCCGACAACTGCGACTGGGTCGTGGACGTTGTACTTGTAGCGCCATCAGGCGATGTGGTAGTTGCACTTGTGGTGGAAGAACTGCTGTTGAAGCTTTCTTCCGATGTGAACGTGTACTCAACTACTGTGTAGGTGAGAACGTTGACATCGAAATCGGCAGCAATTCCACTGAACGCCGGACTGTCATGCGACAGGAAGGTGGCGCTATCGACGATGGTGACTGGATTGTTTGCAAAAGGTGTGCCAGTAGCCGTCGAAAGCAGTAGTCCCGCAAACATTGCACCACGGGTGACGAATGACGCAGAGAGATATTGCAGGGTCGACGTCATGGTCTTGACTAGGCGTGGCGAACAGGTCGAGTTGAGAAATGATGAACGGTTGGCCAGGCCATACCGTGTCTAGAGTTTACTCCCCCTCATAGCGAAGAAGCGCTGCTTTAACATTTGACAGATGTCGAAGGTATTTCTGGTAATACCATTAAGCTGTCGCAAGCATATAGTGACTTAACTCGGTTCATATGGTTCAGAGTAAGTGATCGAGAAAAGAAAGAGAGACTCGCGACTTTGTCGAATCCACAATGCTTGCCGCAGGCGTGAGTAACTATACTCGTCTCTAGCAACTACAAAGTTTACCAGCGACTGACCGGGTCGGCGAGCCGTATGCTCTTACGAAGAACGTTGCTGTAGGAACTCGCAAACCCCCTTCTGTTGCCGTCCGTACATCTGATGAGTCAGTGGACACATCGTCACACGTGACCATCGTTGCAAACCAAAGGACACGGCAGAGTCTCTTCGATATTGGGATGCGAAGAAGTCCAATGCGACGCAAATTGCCGAACCGTTTGTATGTAGTGCTTATGTACGCCCTGCGCTTTTCTCGGGAGCAGGCTCTTTTGCAGCGAGCCAATCTACGCGGCTCGAGTTCATGCAAAGTCGTCGGCACGGCATCCGAACATATACTTAGGTCTCGAGACCACACGTACTTCCTATCGCGTTGGTGCATGTCGACGTTGAGCAGCTAACGTGTCACTTGTGCCGAGCGAGGCGGGTACGACCTCGATATGCAAAAGTAGCCGACGAGTCACATCCACCACAGTAGAGGCACGCGCGAGCTGGCATCGGTGGTCTCATGGAACAAGTACAAGTCAATGCACCTGTCACCCTTCAACGAGATGGCAATCGTTTACGTCCCTCAATACCGCTGACGCAACTACTAAACGTGACGAGTGTTTGACCGATAACGAGTATATTTCACCTAAACTGGTTAGTCAGTGTGTATAAAGCTGGAAGCGACGCTGGCGTCGCGCTGGACGAGACGCCTTTTGGGACTTACACTACCTTCGTGATCGACGACACGTAGAGCGTATTCGTCCACGGCTGCGAGTAGACGACGACATCGTACGGGGAGCCGCCGCAGTTGGAGTTTTCGTTGCGGCAGGTGCCCAATTCGGCGGGAGAGGTCACCGGGCATCCCTTTACTCGGTAGCGGAAGTTCGTACCAGACACGGTCTGCTGCTGCACCGTGTAGAATGCAGTGAAGCAGATCCGAGTCGACACGTCCTCGCTGTACGACAGCGGGTCGGACAGATAAGTTACGAGGAAGTCCACGTCGCTTTCTACTATCGGTTGGGGGTCGCCATAGCCACCCACAAGCGGTTCACTATCGTCACGCCGGAGTTCAGCTGCCGACGAATGCAGAGCCAGTCCGGCGAGTAGAGCGAAAGTGCGGGTGACGGTCATGACAACGGCGGAGGTCAGGTCGTGGGGCGTTCGAGGAGCTGCTGCTGCTGCTGCTGCTGAGCTGGAGTCGGAGTGTGGTCTCGCGTGCGAAACTTGGAATGAGATTATGCCCTCACGTGCAGCGTGGGCCCAGCAGCTCTTCTACGTGGTATCATCAATGAGACAGCTGGAGGATGTGAAGCAACCGGACAGAGCTCTGAGAAATGCTATGTGACAAATTCAGCCGTATTCATTTCTTATCACGATTAGACTGCGTCGTATGTCAAGCTCCCAGGCTATCAGATAGCCGTTGCATCAACTGTTAGGCCATTGCATAAACACTTTTAGAACGCCTCACAGGGTCTCAATGAACCGATCCTCGTCTTTTACGTTGTCGTGTCTAGAGGCCCCATTCCTCATTCTGCGACACCCGAACCTGTCGTCATTCGCAGCTCAATCGTCATTCGCAGCATGACGATTGTGCTGCGAATGACGACAGGTGTAGCGAGTGGCTACGATGTACCAAATGACGATTGAACGGTCCACTATCCAGTCTGGCTTCCTGTCGCACAGCTGGTCGCAATGCTCTTTGCCAATGCCAGGACCAGTACATCGTAGCCACTCGCTACAACTGCGCTGCGAATGACGACTGTGCTGCGAATGACGACAGGTTCGGGCGTCGCAGGACGAGGAACGGGACCTTCTGGTACGACAACGTAGAAGACGAGGATCGGCTCATTGAGACCCTGTGAGGCGTTCTAAAAGTGTTTATGCAATGGCCTAACAGTTGATGCAACGGCTATCTGATAGCCTGGGAGCTTGACATACGACGCAGTCTAATCGTGGTAAGAAATGAGAGGGAGAGAGGTTAGATTCGTCTATTAGATCACTGGTCACTCGTAAGATGTCTGTTGTGTGGAAATTGCCTCGGTCATCTACCATGACACAAATTTTCTCCCACCACGTTCCTCATTCTGCTGGCTCGATACTCCAGACGTCACGGGGGACACTCTCGAAAGGCCACGTGATAATTGCTGTTAACAAAGTCCGGGATTCGAACTTTGTGCGCACTCTTGGCCGGATGGCTGGGCTTCATAGCGTCGCGCTTCCATCTACTTCCGAGGACAAAGGACGCGTGGCTAGGAGTCCTGTTCCACTTAGGAAGTCCTAGCGTGCCATCTGGACGCAATCCCTGGCCCCTTCCTTGGTGGTCGGCTTGCTCTGCTCTTCGGGCCAATCCCATTGCACCACGAGACGAATAGAATCGTGGCTTGGTGCCTACTCTACACAAACGACCGGTACTGGATCTCAACAGATCATCAACCCATTCTTCGGAGGGTTCACTTCGTGGATGTGGATCACGCGCGCAGCAAACGAGTCGGCGCGAGAAGAGACACTTTGTGAAGAGCAGGAACTAACACAGGAACGGGGATGCCGATCTTTGTCGGCATTTCCCGTGCCGCAGGATACCGGTGGATTGCTTCCATTTCTGGTCGCACGCCGCGTTGCCTCCCGTAGCACGCGCAACAGAAAAAAGGCCTATCCCCCTTTTAACCTTGGCTCCACTAAAGGAGACTTCCCGTCCAGGGAAGGGGGCCAGATGACTGGCTCTGATGAAGTCTCCGTCTCTGTCATTGTTGCTCGAAGAGCCCGAATTGGAGAGAGACAAGATGGCAGCCAGTGAAACATACAATGGAATCAAGTGAGGCAATAAGTGCGTCAAATATACATTTCTGGTTCTTTTGCGCCCGATGTTAACATACTAAATAGCTACCAGCTCCCACCGTGCCTCAATAAAATCGTCTTCATTTGCAGCTATAGATGCCTAAAAATCCGTATCCGACCAAGTTTCAACTTGTGGACCAGCAAGAATCGTTCGGGATCAACAAGTGGGGTGGCAACGGTGGTCAGGGCAGCGCGCCTAGTGTAACGGGGCACACCCTTGCGTGAACTTAACGCAAGGGTTTTCGGTGCCCCGACAGACGTACACAAGGCAAGCGAGGAAGCGTAGGTAGGGTAAAAGCAGAACTGTTATATTAATATAATTAAGTCTTTTAACTACTGTCTCTCTGTTTGACTTAGCTTAATTATACTAATATAACTGAGTGTATGGTGACGTCTCGTCACCACTCATTGCGCGCGTCTTGCGGCGATTGGTGGGTTGATATCATCAAGATATCAACCAATGAACAGACTCTTTGATCGACCCATCAATATCACCACTTTGGTGATATTGTTTAAAGAATATCCATCTTCATATTCTATATTGTCACTTTCCTTAACGTGACACTTCCATGTAACGGGCTTCCCCTTTACATCACCCCCTTAACTGATAGTCACCGTGTGACTATCGAAAATATGGCGGCCACCCGTTGGCCACCATTGGGACAGGGAGCACTTGTTGGGTCCGTTCCATTCACTTCCCGCTTGACCTCGCATAGTTAACATGTCTATGCGAGGTGACTCAAGACCCGCACAGCCCGGTGCTGTGCCAGCCTCTGCAGCAGACGATTCGTCGTCTGCTGCTCGTTCTCCGCCTGCAGCAACAGGTGCTGCAGGTGCACGCGACACCTCACCGCGTGCGCATGATGGCCCCGACGTTGAGGTCATCTATTCTGGTGAGTCAGACGTGTCTGACTCGGGCAATGCGCCAGAGGCGTCTCGCTCACCGGCAACGTCTCAGTATTCGCCAAGGCCACTGCCGAACGAACAGACTCGTGATTTGCATCACAGTCTGTTCGGCAGTGATGATGACGATCAGGGTGGTGAGGAATATTATTCCTTACCACCGCCGGCTCGTGCGTCTTCGCACGAGCGTGATGACGATGGCGTGAGCCGTCGTCAATCTGGGAGCCGTGGTACCGACAAGGGTACCACTGTAAAGCGCGATGGGCTGGAGCCGTGGCGTTTGCCCGAACGGCTCATCAATAGCTTGTCTCACGAGACAAGCCAACACCATCGAATACCCTTATTCGATGCGACTGAGCTTCACGGCTTGAGTTCCAGCGAGAAGAACTTTCGCGCTGAAGAAGATTTTTATCTCGATGTCTTTCTTAGACATCGATGGTACAATGGCAACCAAAAGCGTGACAAGGCCTCGCTTTTGGCTGCGTTGAACGTGTTCGTCCAAAACGTAAAGAATTTTGGACGAGAAGGGTGGCTCAAGAAACATGAGGCGACACGCCTCAGGTTCGAAAGACGAACGCCAACCGTTGCTAGGTACCGGTTGCATTGTTTATCGAGTGAGGCAGGCATTCCTTGCCTCACATGGGGAGACCCTTATGCGAGTTGTGTTGACAACTCGCAGCGTGCACATAGGGATGTGTATTCCCTAAGTTCGCCCTGGGGAAGGGCACACATCTCGGCTGAGATGCGTGACGCAATTGCAAACTTGCAATCCGTCTACAAGCGCCAAAAGCGCGTGTTTACCGATGGGCCTGGGGACTCATCGGATGGGTCTCGTCATACTGGCGGACGAGACCTTCAACGTCCATCAACAGCTGATAGAGGGGCTCCCAGCTGTTCCAAGAGGGTGGATACCCCCGCCACTGGACGAGGTAGCTCGTCCTTGATCCTGAATCGTCACGGTGGTTCAAGATACGCTCCACTAG